ACTCAGCAGCTCCTATGCTGGAAGAAGGCAGCTTGGTTGGTACTGAGTGAGCGGGAGACTGAGCTGGCTGGAGATGGAGCTGGGGACCCAGCGCCTTCAGGACCCAGGACAGCTCCCGCAGAGCGGAAAGTGTAATGTTCGTTTTGTATCTCACATATAAAGTCCCAGCCTGCAATGGAGTGGTATTTAGGACAGGACCTTTGGGAGGTAATTAAGGGTTAGCTGAGGTCATGAGGCTGAGGCCTTCATGACACGATTAGTACCCTTGGAAGAGACCCCAGAGGCCTCACTCCTCCTCTCCCTGTCCCTGTCCTAGTTCCTTGTGAATGCGCACGGAAAGGCTGTGTGAGCATACAGAAAGGGGCAGCTGTTTGCCAGCCAGGAAGAGACCCTGGGCTGCATCCGGCCAGGCTGAGACCCTCACCTAGGCTCCCACCCTCCAGAATCCTGCTGTGATGTTAATTCTGATTGTCACCTTGATTGGATTAAGAAGCCTCTAGGCAACAGTGAAGCACACCTCTGGGTGTCTTTGACAGGGATGATTGGATTGTGAGGGCTCTGACCTAATCAATGGATTAAGCCCTTGATGGATTCAAAATATGAGGAAGCGCGGAAAGGTGGGAGGCGGAGCCAAGCCAGCGGAATTCTATCACTGGGGGTGCGTCCTTGGGGTCACCGCTTCCTTAGCCCCTCCTTGTCTTTGCTCTCTCTGCTTCCTGTCTGCTGACGATGAGCAGCTCCTTCCCTGCAGGTGTCTGCTGCCCTGGTGCTCTGCCAGGCACAGAGGGTCAAGCAACCATCGACTAAGCCTTCCGAGACTCAGTTTAAAAAAATCCTTCAACGTGCTTGTCTGCCTGTTGCCCTGCGGGTCACAGACTCTAACCTTCTGAAGCTATAAGCAAGGCCCTAATAAACTCTCTCTTCTGTAAGTTGCCCTGGTCATGGTGTTTTGTCACGATGATAGTGAAGTAACTTAGAGAGCCCAGCTCAGTGGGGAGAAAGGGGCAGGGAGAGGAATGGGAACACGCTTTGCTCTATCCCTCCTCACCCTGGTCAGAGCCTGGGGCCATGGGATAAGGCGCTCCAGGGCAGGGGCTCTGCTTCCATCCGCCTAGCACCCAAAATGTCACAGCTAGTACCTCTCCACCACAGCTGCGGCTCTCTCGGGCATGGGGTGTTGGCCTTCTCTGTCTGAAGAGCTTTGGGGACAACCATGGGGCAGTTGGGAGGACAAAGGGAGCAGTCAGGGACAAACTGCTGGTACTGGGTTTGGCTCTGCATGGGCACGACCTGCCAGCCTGCCTTGCCCGGGAACCAGACACCTTCTAACTGTAAGGTGATCAGGGGAGGGGAGGGGGCCTTGATTGGCCCCTGTGTGCTGAGCTTGTGGAGTTGGGGAGAGGGGATCTGAGTAACTTTGCACAAGATCAAGGCTCCTATGGACAGAGGAGCCTGGGATTCTCTAGACACCTAGTGGAAGGTGGTCCTTTAGACTGCCTTTCTCAGTGCTCAGGGCTGTGAGGAGCTGGAGTGTAAGGCAGAGCGAAGACTCACACTCCAGCTCTTGCAAGGGGAGTGTTGACTGTGGGCACTCTGAGGTGGCATCACTCCCTTTTGGAGTTCCAGAGAGTTCTGTGTTCCTGGATCAATGTCCAGATGTTCTCCAAGAGAACAAGGTGTCAGCATACGTGAGAGGCAGAGAGTACTTGCTCTCAGTTCCCGTCTGCTGAGGACATAGGGCCTCTGGAGCCCCAATCTGGAAATTC